CTACACAGAACTTTATAACATCCGTCGTCTAAGTGATATGCAGAAACTTATGCCTTTGGTGGGTGTTTCAATATGTCAACCAAGCCATCAAACTCAATCATAAGAGAAATTCTTACCTTTAGGTCGACTGGTCGCGATTTTTCTTTGCCGTTGCTCCTTTCGCTTCACACCAGTACCTTAATTCAAATCCAGAGATACTCATCGTAGAAATTGATTATTTGAGAAGGTAGAACTGCTCTGAGAAGCCTTGTCATTTTTGTATGCAACCAAGTAAGACATATAATTTCAGAATCAGCGAACTATTGCGATCAACAGATCCACGTGTGATTACAAACTACGTTTTTATGCGGTATTCTTCAAGCTGGACAGGAGAGATGGGAGAAACCTATGAAGACATTGCACAAGTAAGAAATAAAGTGTCATAAACTTATTACATAAATGGCTTACACTCTTTTCATCAATATTCTCTTGAAGAGAATATAGCAATTGAAATTCTTTTTTATTCTAGGAATTCCATAAGGTCATGTATGGAAAACAGCAGAAAGCACCACGATGGAAAGACTGTACTAGTCACACTATGCATCGGATGCAATACGCTACCGGGGCGATATACGTGAGGAAAGCATTTGATCAGGTATATAAACACCATGCTTACTTTTTTTGATTCAGCCGACGACTAGTTTAGGAGTCGAAAAATGTCACACTGGAAATGATCGATGACCTACAGGAAGTATTTCGCGGGATACTCAGCACTAACAATTGGATGGACGACCAAACTAGAGCTGTGCGCCTCTGAGCAAGATGGAATTTTACCAAACATGATTATTGCAGACAGCTTTGGACAAGGCGAACCAAATGCTGCGCCAAATAGCCTATCCAGACTTTATCCTAGATGATGAAAAGCTCGACGAGCACTATGACGGTGTGAGTGCTAACGCCATGAATGGTTATTTGAGAAAGCATACATGCCACTTCAGTTGGACGTGCGTGACACTGATTCGTACAGTGAAATGTTGGAAAAAGTGGCGCGATGGGGAATCGAGTACTCCTTCAGAAGACTGACGAAACCTGTGGACCGTACCGAGTACAATTTTAACTCTGCTGTAGTGAATGCTTACTACTCATCGACCTCCAATTCCATTAGTGAGAACACAGCTCTTTCTTATCGGTTCTGGACTTTATCAAAATTTTCAGAATTTCCTGCTGCCATACTCCAAGCTCCATTCTTCCATCACACCTTCCCCAGGTGATTAAAACTAGCTCTTGTAGTATATAAAATTTCACAACAATCCTTCGAAATAGAAAGAACAGATTGTTTTATTATCCTAACCCTTCACCAAACTTGTGTATCACTCTAGTACTCGGTTCACAAATCAAGACTACCGTCCACCCAAATTCTCGATTTCCGCATTTTTGTCGTTCCGGGGCTTTCTCATGTCCTTGATTCCAAATATTGATTCGAGAATCCATAACTCCGACACTCCCTGTTTCGCAGAACCCGCAGGGCACGTTCTCCAAGACGAGGCTTGGTTGGGTATGCACGGAGGCTGGATGACGTCACGCCCATTCAAAGGCGAGGAGCCAACGTGGCGAGTCCGTTACCCAAAGGGATTTTCGAAGCAAATTTCTCGATTCGGAAGCAACTTCACGGCGCGAGTTGGGCAAGTATACAGTCGGAGGCCCCACTACTGTTAGGCATCACAATCTCATCGACCCCAATTTGGGTGGACGGTGCCTTTAAGTAGTCTTTGTGCAAATGAGCGCATATCTCTTTTCAAACTAATATCCTTTGAGCATTAGAATAATTTTATCACTCACTTTTCTTTTTATTTTGATAGAGAAAAGTACTATGTTGTATGGCACAAAAACTTATTGCATTTTACAACATTATGCCAGTGATGCATATTGTTGTGGAAACCCGAGTTTTCTGCATTTTTTAGAGAAGAACTGTAGAAAAAACTAACACTCATAATTCTTTTGATACCTAACAGATTCTGTCTCTTTATAGAGCTTTGAACTATGGAGGGATTGGAGCGGTCATCGGGCATGAAATTACCCATGGTTTTGATGATCAAGGTAATATATACATTATTTGTAGAAAAGAGAGCTAATAGTAGCCTTCGGATAGGACTGCAATTCTGCAGCCTTCGAGGCCCCTATCAATGTGAAATCAATTTAGGACGTCAGTTTGACGCTATTGGTAATCTTCGTGAGTGGTGGGACGCGGAGGTGAAGAAGAAATTCGAGGATCGAGCTCAGTGCATAATCAAGCAATACGGGAAGATTGAGGTTAGCAGATTCAAGAGCGCGTTCTGCCTCAATACAAGAACACTGATTAAGGTGCCGGGAACCGGTCTCAAAATCAACGGCAAACTCACTCAAGGAGAGAATATTGCCGACAATGGTGGAGTAAAACAGGCGTATAGGGTAACATCGTAGATCAGTCAGCTACCACGCTTCAAATATTTTGTTCAGGCTTACAAAGCTTATTTGCAAAAGCATGGTGGAGAAGAAGAGAGAATTAGAGGCTTAGAACAATATAATAATGAGCAGATGTTTTTCTTAGGCTATGCTACGGTAACACTTAATTTCACACAAAGTAAAATCACGAAACAGTGGTCCTCCTAAGGTTTGGTGTGGGCACTCAACAAATGACGCCTTGATCAACCTCATTCTTACCGACCCCCATGCTCCGCAGCGTTATCGGTTAGTGAACTTTGTCTTGCATCTATGCTCGATCTATAAACACCGCATTGCAGGGTTAACCAAGTGCTTGCCAATCAACCTGAATTTGCTGCAGCTTTTAGATGTGAGGTGGGAAGTCCCATGAACCCCACTGAGCGCTGCTCCGTATGGTAAATGCAAAAGGAGCAACAGAGAAATTGTCGTGTTTATGTACATAGCAGCTGTTTGCTTTATGAATTCAAAGTGAACCAGAATCACAAATGACAAGGAGAGTGTTATCCAGAATACGGGTCATTTTACTTGACTAACTAGATTGTAAGAATTCGAGGCAACTTTTTGCTGGTTTGTTTCATCTGCTTTAATGATGTCTCTCACTGTCTCTAATTTATTGCACCTTCTCTCGTTCATAGCTGATGCCTCGTACTAGTCATGTTATATGACTAATCAATTATATATCATCTCTGTGACTGTGGATGCTTCTTCCATTTCACCTAGGACACATTATCTTTGATGACCGCATCGCCAAAATTTGACTGAAAAATTTTTCCATGCGAAGTTAAGCACAAAATTTTCTAACATAACTGGAATAGAAGTGATGGACCTTTTAGCTGACAGGAATAAAAGTGATGAAGTAATGACTTCGTTGTGGCATACGTATTGCTTTTGTAACTAGGATGCAATCTTGTACACTTCTGATTAAGACATGAGGAGCATGCAGGACGATTACTCGTGTAGGCTAGATCTGTTTTCAAAAACATACAGAAATTACTGCGATTCTAAAGCAGATGAACAGAGGGAGTTGCTATTGCTGCATAAGCCAGAAGCAAGCGTTAGGTTGCTGCAAACTGAAGCATATTTTGCAGAGTTTTGTTTCGAGCTGTAACTTCATGACTAATTTTCAACGCAGTAAGTTATGGCATAGCTGGTCATGGCTAAATGAGCACCATCAGGTTAAAGCTGGTACTGCAAATAAGCCAAGTGCAGGAACCAGAGACAAAAGGGTCTCCCAACGTTACTGCTATAATTTACTTCGCATGGGCACAACTATTGGAGTACGAATCTTGTTCAAATCTTATTCTACTCTTCGTTTTCCGAGCATGTTGGCAGACTGATTTTGTTTTAAGCACTCACAAATTTGCATCTACGCTCCCTTAGCATACCAAGGAGGCAGTTTTGAATAGAAGTCCTACATGCTACATCGATGCTCATTTTATTTATTATTAGTCCGGTCCAAAAGTTCGTGCCAGTTTGAGACTTATTCTTAAAAAGGAAAAAGAAAAAGATAAAGGTAAACAAACGATTAACAGTGTTCAGTGCACGATCTATTCTCCCTCTTTCCAGCAATGGATTTCTGTTCCGATTCCACTGAGCCGCTCGTCGACAGCCTCATAAGTTGGTGCAGGTGTAGGCTTAAATTTCTTTGTGTTTATTAGTTTTGCAATGCTTCAGCTAATCTTCTTTTTGAAGGTTAGGCATCCTCGAAGTGAATGCATGCCCTTCTTCAAAAAAAAACCAACAAAGAGTCATTTTTATATGAGTGCTTCCTATATTTATTCTGAAAGGTGCTTACAAGAATGAAAATGAATGGGAAATCATGTTAAGCACAGTGATGGCAATCTATGACAAAGTGAAAGGAGATGACATTTATGACAATCTATGACAAACATAGGAGATGCTCGCAGTGAGCGGACCGGATAAAAAATAAGTCGTTGCAGTTGGCTTTCTCGCACTCACACAGCAATTCACGCGAAAAGCATTATTGTACAAGGGTTTGGAATTGACCAGGATGCCCATCAAGGTAGCCTGCGGCATACCACGGATTTTGTTCGAGTTAACTCGAATTGTGATCAATAGCTACACTTTAGGCAAACGGTAACTATTTCTCCGAATTTTTTCATATTTTTCGAAGAGGAAAGGCATGCATTTACCTCGAGGATGAACTTCAAAAAGAAGATTAGCTGAGGCAATGCAAAACTAAAAAACACAAAAGGACTCGAACCTACACTTGCATTAACTTATTAGGCTATCGCTCTAACCACTACACCACAGTCTACCTTAGACATCGGCCCTTCGATCGTATTTCCCTCGATGGCCGAACTTGGCTCGAAAATCCTCCATAACTCCTTTCAGAGAAACGATCAGCAGAAAAGGAAGTCAGATTCGGAATCAGCGGTTCGAGACGAGTATAATGTCATACATCTCATCTCAAAAGGCCACGGACACTAAGTATCGTTCCCTTGTTAAAAGTGTGTTATGGTAGGAAAGCCAGGGCGTTTCTGAAAATCTTGCAGTAATTTTCTTCAAAAAAATCTATGCAGGGGCGTGTGAATTGTACATTTAAGGCAACAAACCATTAGTCTAGCTTAATCACACAACTCAATAAAGGAGGAGTTGGAGAGTATGGGTAGTTGCAACTCAGTATCAGGGCTCCGATTTTGATGCAAAAAGCGACATTCGCACTGACTTTCACAAAGTGTGAGGAAATTGCAGTTGACACCTATCCGAGTTGACAAATAAACCTGAAAAACGAAATGTCGACTGAAGAAAAACTAATCTTACTTGTGTTTTCCGAACCGCAAAAACGATATTCCTTTACTTTCTGCCCCAAAAAAGGTATCCAGCTTGCTTATAAGTTATCGAGACCTGCTCAGTATTCATAGTACGCTTGGTTTCGCTTGATGTTCCTTTTTCTGTGCTAGATTTTCAGTAGTGCATTTTCATTGCAGAGATGGAAATGCGAAGGAAACGCGCAGACTTTTACTCGGCTCTGAAAGAACCCCAGAAAAACGTGATCCCGGAGCGGCTCTCTACCCTAGTTGAAGTAATTATGCGAGTGATACAGTGTTGCGTGTAAAATTGAACGTGATAGCTAGGAGAACTGATAATGCTTTCCAGAAACCTTTTTTTTCGTAAAGTGGCAAACTCAAATTACGTAAAATGAAAAGTAAGCATTCCGATATAGAACAGTCCTGGCCTTCAAACAGGTTTAACGATGAAGAAACTTTTCGTTTTACGTAGGCCAAAAGAACCCTTCCATTTTCTTATATGAAAGTATGAGAATTATTCCTCAAAAGTAATTCAAATCTCAAATACAAGTGAAAAAAATAGATTTCGTGTTCAACCTTCTGGAGCACAAAAGGCATGATGATGAATCAACAGCTTTTTTGGTCCGCTTACATCGAGAACAGAAAATTGAGGGCAATATTTCCAAACGAGAAGAAAGGCATAAGATTTTCATAATAAAAGTGAGAGCGAGAAAAAGAGCTAAGACGGTGCAAGCGCGCTCCACGTATGTCATGCAGGTACCTATGAGGCTGACTGCTACCAGGATAGCCGGTGGCACGCGGGCAGGTATTACCACGGCTCGGGTTTGAAAACCAAAGGTAGAGTGTCGCTTGATAAGTTTCCGAAAAAAAGCATATATTCGCTAGAAAACCCCACTCCGGGTTCTACTTTCTTTAATGGACCTCGAGCTTATGTCCCCCATGTTGCATCCTCTTACCATTCGCAGAACCAACAATTTTAAGCTCCAATATCCTCAAATCACAAGCACGCGAAATCAAAACTGTGCTCGAATCAAGCAAATAGTTTGTTCGCAGGCATCGACGTAACGTACGGGTAATATCAAGTGCAATATATGCAGAATGGGAAAATGAAATATACGGGAAGGCTTTGTAAAAGAACAAATTTTTTTAGTTGAGCGGCTTCGTAAACTAGTAAGCTTGATATAGCCGCCCAAATAAGGCAAAGTGATTAACTTCTCTTCCCCTCATAATTTTGTCTTTTTCAAAAAAAATCAAGCTAAATCCTGAATCCCATAAACTAACTCCTCTGTCTCTTCAACCACCCTCTCAAATAATCGCCGGGGGCAGGCGGTCCGCAAACTCGCGTTTTTCTGCAGGCGGTTAGCAGAATTTTGGGGCATGGCCAAACCATGGCCAAACCTTCAGCGGGCGGCACTTCCTTTACTGTCTAATGTTCTGCCAGCGGGCAGCAGCACAGAATTTTCTGCAGGCGCTGGTCAAATAATCTCTTTCAGCGAGCGCTGGTCAAATTTTAAGCTGGCGCTTTGACGATTTTGAAGCAGTTTCGGGCGTACGCCGAGCAAAGGTGAGACTCTACATGGCAGAGGTGTCATTGATGGTTTGATTACTCAAGTTTGAGGTACCTTCTCTCAGCGGAAAGTACCTAGGGGCTGCGCGGTCCTCCACGAAGGACCGTGCGGCCCCAACAATCCCGCATATTCTCGCGGAAAGTCTGAACCGCCACCCATCCGCAGAAAGACAGCATAGTTCTCCGAGTGTTCGTCCAAAAATTGGCCAAAATTGTTCCAAATTTCCGCAGGCGGACCGCAAGAAATTAGCGGACTATTAGGTTGTCCCAAAATAAACTCCATTTTCAAATAAATTGAACGGTTCTTGTTCTCCTAACAGACTTAAGATACCATTCGATAGAGCGGAGCAAGCTCTACAAAAATGCCACCAAAGATCCATCTAAGTCGTAATCCATCTAAAATTTGGGGCCAAAAATCAAGATTTCTCAGCTACCCTAAAAATCGGGTTTCTTTTCAGAGAATTCCTACGGACTTCCAACTTGGTCTTTATATAGTAGACATATAGTAGTACTCAAAAATGTATTTAGCGGGTTTTTAGGGGCTCGAAATTGAGGAAAAAAGATGGTCCGAAAACGCCAAAATGCCACTTTTTTCGGTTTTTTATGTGAAACATGGTATTTCTCAAATATAAGAGCACTTGCAAGGGTAAGTTTTTAAAATTACACTTACTAAAGCTTGTAGTATACAATGACATATGTGAGGGGCTGCGGGCGAATTTTGCCATTTTTGGACAATTTTCGTTTCTCGATTTCTATGCTTGGAAAAAATTCGGTAAAGGCATATCTGAGTACTACTATGTGCCTACTATATAATGACCAAGTTGTATGTGCCTACTATATAATGACCAAGTTGGAGGTCTGTAGGATTTTTAATCGCAGAAATCCTTCCAGGTGACAAAATTTTTTTCGATTTTGGCCTCAAACATTCCACGGAATGTGGCTTAGATGGATCCTTGGTAGTCATTTTGTAGAGCTTGATTTGCTCTATCGAATGGTAGCCTAAGCTTACTGGTAAACAAAAACAGCTTAAATTATTAAAAAAAGGAGTTTACTTTTGGGACAACCTAATATTTTTCCGGTGCCCGCTTGCTCAAAATTCGCACGGCCACCTGCTTCCAGCGATTATCTGAGTTTGCTGCTCTAAACCTGCGAAGAAGACAACATGGCGTCAAAGCTGACAATGACATCTTTAGTTCTATACCAACTGCATTTGATGTCTTCTAGTGTTTTTCCCGTTTCTATGATACTTCTGCTTCTTAATCGCTCCGAAGGCATGCTGGCTTTCACAAAAAGATGAATTTTTTGAAGTTTGCTGATGCTGGTGCCACTTCTTGTCAAGAACTGGCCGCGACACGCATCTTAACGCAAGTAACTTGTTTTTATTTTTGGAGTACTCTGTAAGAAGAAGACGACTTGGCTTTCAAAAATGTGTAGCTTAGAAGATGAAGAATCCAAAATCAAGATCCCGCAAACTAAATATAGGGCCGCATGCAATAACATTCCAGCGGGGAGGCGA